ACCCCAGCGGGCACACTTCTGCCTCAACCACGCCTGCTTCCGGGCCAACGACGTCCCCCACCAGTAACCCCGGCGGACACACTTCTGCCTCCACCACGCCTGCCTCCGACCCGACGACGTCCCCCACCAGTAACCCCGGAGGACCCACTTCTGCTTCCACCACGCCTGCTACCGCCCCGACGACGTCCCCGGTCAGCATCCCCGGCGGGCACACTTCTGCCTCGACCACGCCTGCTTCCGGCCCGACGACATCCCCCACCAGTGACCCCGGCGGGCACACTTCTGCCTCCACCACCGCTGCTTCCGGCCCGACGACGTCCCGCACCAGTAACCCCGGCGGGCACACTTCTGCTTCCACCACGCCTGCTTCCGACCCGACGACGTCCCCGGCCAGCACCCCCGGCGGGCACACTTCTGCCTCCACCACGCCTGCTTCCGGCCCGACGACGTCCCCCACCAGTGACCCCGGCGGGCACACTTCTGCCTTCACCACCCCTGGTTCCTCCCCGACGACGTCCCCCACCAGTAACCCCGCCGGGCACACTTCTGCCTCCACCACGCCTGCTTCCTCCCCGACGACGTCCCCCACCAGTAACCCCGGCGGGCACACTTCTGCCTCCACCACGCCTGCTTCCTCTCCGACGATGTCCCCCACCAGTAACCCCGGAGGGCCCACTTCTGCCTCGACCACGCCTGCTTCCTCCCCGACGACGTCCCCCACCAGTAACCCCGGCGGGCACACTTCTGCCTCCACCACCCCTGGTTCCTCCCCGACGACGTCCCCCACCAGTAACCCCGGCGGGCACACTTCTGCCTCCACCACGCCTGCTTCCTCCCCGACGATGTCCCCCACCAGTAACCCCGGAGGGCCCACTTCTGCCTCGACCACGCCTGCTTCCTCCCCGACGACGTCCCCCACCAGTAACTCCGGCGGGCACACTTCTGCCTCCACCACCCCTGGTTCCTCCCCGACGACGTCCCCCACCAGTAACCCCGCCGGGCACACTTCTGCCTCCACCACCCCTGGTTCCTCCCCGACGACGTCCCCCACCAGTAACCCCGGCGGGCACACTTCTGCCTCCACCACGCCTGCTTCCTCCCCGACGATGTCCCCCACCAGTAACCCCGGAGGGCCCACTTCTGCCTCGACCACGCCTGCTTCCTCCCCGACGACGTCCCCCACCAGTAACCCCAGCGGGCACACTTCTGCCTCGACCACGCCTGCTTCCGGCCCAACGACGTCCCCCACCAGTAACCCCGGCGGGCACACTTCTGCCTCCACCACGCCTGCCTCCGACCCGACGACGTCCCCCACCAGTAACCCCGGAGGGCCCACTTCTGCTTCCACCACGCCTGCTACCGCCCCGACGACGTCCCCGGTCAGCATCCCCGGCGGGCACACTTCTGCCTCCACCACCGCTGCTTCCTCTCCGACGACGTCCCTGGCCAGCACCCCCGGCGGGCACACTTCTGCCTCGACCACGCCTGCTTCCGGCCCGACTACGTCCCCCACCAGTGACCCCGGCGGGCACACTTCTGCCTCCTCCACCCCTGCTTCCTCCCCTACGACGTCCCCCACCAGTAACCCCGGCGGGCACACTTCTGCCTCGACCACGCCTGCTTCCTCCCCGACGACGTCCCCCACCAGTAACCCCGGCGGGCACACTTCTGCTTCCACCACCCCTGGTTCTTCCCCTACGACGTCCCCCACCAGTAACCCCGGCGGGCACACTTCTGCCTCCACCACGCCTGCTTCCTCCCCGACGATGTCCCCCACCAGTAACCCCGGAGGGCCCATTTCTGCCTCGACCACGCCTGCTTTCTCCCCGACGACGTCCCCCACCAGTAACCCCGGCGGGCTCACTTCTGCTTCCACAACCCCTGCTTCCTCCCTGACGACGTCCCCCACCAGTGACCCCGGCGGGCACACTTCTGCCTCCACCACCCCTGCTTCCTCCCCGACGACGTACCCCACCTGTAACCCCGGCGGGCACACTTCTGCCTCCACCACGCCTGCCTCTGACCCGACGTCGTCCCCCACCAGTAACCCCGGAGGGCCCACTTCTACCTCCACCACGCCTGCTTCCTCCCCGACGACGTCCCCCACCAGTAACGCCGGCGGGCACACTTCTGCCTCCACCACGCCTGCCTCCCGCCCGACGACGTCCCCCACCAGTAACCCCGGAGGGCACACTTCTGCCTCGACCACGCCTGCTTCCGGCCCGACGACGTCCCCCACCAGTGACCCCGGCGGGCACACTTCTGCCTCGACCACGCCTGCTTCCTCCCCGACGACGTCCCCCACCAGTAACCCCGGCGGGCACACTTCTGCCTCGACCACGCCTGCTTCCTCCCCGACGACGTCCCCAACCAGTAACCCCAGCGGGCACACTTCTGTCTCCACCACGCCTGCTTCCTCCCCGACGACGTCCCCCACCAGTAACCCCGGCGGGCACACTTCTGCCTCCACCACCCCTGGTTCCTCCCCGACGACGTCCCGCACCAGTAACCCCGGCGGGCACACTTCTGCCTCCACCACCCCTGGTTCCTCCCTGACGACGTCCCCCACCAGTAACCCCGGCGGGCACACTTCTGCCTCGACCACGCCTGCTTCCGGCCCGACGACATCCCCCACCAGTGACCCCGGCGGGCACACTTCTGCCTCCACCACCCCTGCTTCCTCCCCGACGACGTCCCCCACCAGTGACCCCGGCGGGCACACTTCTGCCTCCACCACCCCTGCTTCCTCCCCGACGACGTCCCCCACCAGTGACCCAGGCGGGCACACTTCTGCCTCCACCACCCCTGGTTCTTCCCCAACGACGTCCCCCACCAGTAACCCCGGCGGGCACACTTCTGCCTCCACCACCCCTGGTTCCTCCCCGACGACGTCCCCCTCCAGTAACCCCGGCGGGCACACTTCTGCCTCCACCACCCCTGCTTCCTCCCCGAACACGTCCCCCACCCGTAACCCCGGCGGGCACACTTCTGCCTCCGCCACCCCTGGTTCCTCCCCGACGACGTACCCCACCAGTAACCCCGGCGGGCACACTTCTGCCTCCACCACCCCTGGTTCCTCCCTGACGACGTCCCCCACCAGTGACCCCGGCAGGCACACTTCTGCCTCCACCACCCCTGCTTCCGCCCCGACGACGTCCCCGGTCAGCACCCCCGGCGGGCACACTTCTGCCCCCACCACCCCTGGTTCCTCCCTGACGACGTCCCCCACCAGTAACCCCGGCGGGCACACTTCTGCCTCGCCCACGCCTGCTTCCTCCCCGACGACATCCCCCACCAGTGACCCCGGCGGGCACACTTCTGCCTCCACCACGCCTGCTTCCTCCCCGACGACGTCCCCCAACAGTGATCCCGGAGGGCACACTTCTGCCTCGACCACGCCTGCTTCCTCCCCGACGACGTCCCCCACCAGTAACCCCGGCGGGCACACTTCTGCCTCCACCACCCCTGCTTCCTCCCCGACGACGTCCCCCACCAGTGACCCCGGCGGGCACACTTCTGCCTCCACCACCCCTGCTTCCTCCCCGACGACGTCCCCCTGCAGTAACCCCGGCGGGCACACTTCTGCCTCCACCACGCCTGCTTCCTCCCCGACGACGTCCCCCACCAGTAACCCCGGCGGGCACACTTCTGCCTCCACCACCCCTGCTTCCTCCCCGACGACGTCCCCCACCAGTGACCCCGGCGGGCACACTTCTGCCTCCACCACCCCTGCTTCCTCCCCGACGACGTCCCCCACCAGTAACCCCGGCGGGCACACTTTTGCCTCCACCACGCCTGCCTCTGACCCAACGACGTCCCCCACCAGTAACCCCGGAGGGCCCACTTCTGCCTCTACCACGCCTGCTTCCTCCCCGACGACGTCCCCCACCAGTAACCCCGGCGGGCACACTTCTGCCTCCACCACCCCTGCTTCCTCCCCGACGACGTCCCCCACCAGTGACCCCGGCGGGCACACTTCTGCCTCGACCACGCCTGCTTCCTCCCCGACGACGTCCCCCACCAGTAACCCCGGCGAGCACACTTCTGCCTCCACCACCCCTGGTTCCTCCCCGACGACGTCCCCCACCAGTAAACCCGGCGGGCACACTTCTGCCTCCACCACGCCTGCTTCCTCCCCGACGACGTCCCCCACCAGTAACCCCGGCGGGCACACTTCTGCCTCCACCACCCCTGCTTCCTCCCCGACGACGTACCCCACCTGTAACCCCGGCGGGCACACTTCTGCCTCCACCACGCCTGCCTCTGACCCGACGACGTCCCCCACCAGTAACCCCGGAGGGCCCACTTCTGCCTCGACCACGCCTGCTTCCTCCTCGACGACGTCCCCCACCAGTGACCCCGGCGGGCACACTTCTGCCTCCACCACCCCTGCTTCCTCCCCGACGACGTCCCCCGCCAGTGACCCCGGCGGGCACACTTCTGCCTCCACCACGCCTGCTTCCGCCCCGACGACGTCCCCCGCCAGTAACCCCGGCGGGCACACTTCTGCCTCCACCACCCCTGCTTCCGGCCCGACTACGTCCCACACCAGTGACCCCGGCGGGCACACTTCTGCCTCCACCACCCCTGCTTCTTCTCCGACGATGTCCCCTACCTGTAACCCCGGCGGGCACACTTCTGCCTCCACCACGCCTACTTCCGGCCCGACTACGTCCCACACCAGTGACCCCGGCGGGCACACTTCTGCCTCCACCACCCCTGCTTCTTCTCCGACGATGTCCCCTACCTGTAACCCCGGCGGGCACACTTCTGCCTCCACCACGCCTGCTTCCGGCCCGACGACGTCCCCGGCCAGCACCCCCGGCGGGCACACTTCTGCCTCGACCACGCCTAGTTCCGGCCCGACTACGTCCCCCACCTGTGACCCCGGCGGGCACACTTCTGCCTCCACCACCCCTGCTTCCTCCCCGACGACGTCCCCCACCAGTGACCCCGGCGGGCACACTTCTGCCTCGACCACGCCTGCTTCCTCCCCGACGATGTCCCACACCAGTAACCCCGGCGGGCACACTTCTGCCTCCACCACGCCTGCTTCCGACCCCACGACGTCCCCCACCAGTGACCCCGGCGGGCACACTTCTGCCTCCACCACGCCTGCTTCTTCCCCGACGACGTCCCCCACCAGTGACCCCGACGGGCACACTTCTGCCTCCACCATGCCTGCTTCCTCTCCGCCGACGTCCCCCACCAGTAATCCCGGCGGGCACACTTCTGCCTCCACCACCCCTTCTTCCTCCCCGACGACGGCCCCCACCAGCACCCCCGGCGGGCACACTTCTGCCTCGACCACGCCTGCTTCCTCTCCGACGACGTCCCCCACCAGTAACCCCGGCGGGCACACTTCTGCCTCTACCACGCCTGCTTCCGCCCCGACGACTTCCCCCGCCAGTGCCCCCAGTGGACAGACTTCCACAGGACCTGCTTCTACCCCAATTCCTACTGCCAGTAGCACCGTTGGACCGTCTTCCACGGGAGCCACGTCCAGTCCCACTCCCACTGCCAGTAGCATCACAGCACATTCTTCCACAGGACCCTCTACCACTCAAACCTCCACCGCCAGGAGCACCCCGGGGCATTCTTCGACACGACCCTGTACCAGTCCAACTTCCACTGCCAGCAGTCCCAGCAGTACTACATCCACCACAGTCCCTGTTGTCTCTACTACCTCGACCACTGTTACAATAAGAAGCTCCCCGAACCCAACCTCTACTCCGCCTGCAACCACACCACGTAAGAAAGTTCTTGATTTTGCCTTATGCACCTTAAGTATGTTTTCACTCTATTTCCTGTGATTCTTTTTTTTCTTAAGATTTTATTTATTTATTTGAGAGAGAGAATGAGATAGAGAGAGCATGAGAGGGAGGAGGGCCAGAGGGAGAAGCAGACTCCCCGCTGAGCAGGGAGCCCGATGCGGGACTCGATCCTGGGACTCCAGGATCATGACCTGAGCCGAAGGCAGTCGCTTAACCAACTGAGCCACCCAGGTGCCTGATTTCCATGTGATTCTTAACTTTTAACCCTTAATACTCTTCTTTTTCTCTTTCTTGTTTCCCATGAGATCAAATGTCATCAGTGTTGTCACCCTGTCTCTGACCTCCCCGTCCTGCCCGTTGGTTCTAGAGCTACGTCCACTCTATCATAAAACACACTTTACCTCTCTTTGCATGGACCCCTTCAATCCCCAGCAAAGTGTCTGCACACTCCATTTCTTCCTTTTGTACTCTGTGAGACTCTGTTTTATATCCTATAGTTTCATGAACTTCATATCTTTCATTTGGATTTCATGTCTTTTTAGTGGCTTTTCTTGTCGATTTTGCTCATGCTTAAGTGCTAAGGTTTTTTTGTTGTTGTTGTTGTTGTTTGTTTGTTTTTGTAAGAGTGTGTTGCCAAGAGTACTCACATATGCCATTGGCAACTATCTCTCTGCTACCATTCAATCATTTTGTTTTTTTCTTATTTTCTGCTCATCCACTATAGAAGCCAAGAAGGTTCACTTTTATCAGCTCTGAGCTCTGCCTCTATGCCCTTGAATGTTTCCGTATCCTTATGCCTCCCTGTCTTTTCTCTGTGTTTAGAGCTCACTCAGCTCTCTTTGCTCTGGTAAGATGAGACCTGCCCCACTCCATACCTACCGTTATAACATACTGTCCTTATGTAATACATAATATACAATATATATTATACAATATACTTTTAAAAAAGATTTTATTTCTTTATTTGACAGAGAAAGACACAGCAAGAGAGGGAACACAAGGGGAGTGGGTAGGAGAGGGAGAAGCAAGCTTCCCCATGGAGCAGGGAGCCCGATGTGGGGCTCGATTCCAGGACCCTGGGATCATGACCTGAGCCGAAGGCAGATGCTTAATGACTGAGCCACCCAGGCACCCCTAAAATATACTCTTATACTTGTGAGATTTATTATCAGAGTGAGAGAGGATATTTGCCATACATTAAGAAAAACACACTACTTGAAGACTTTACTGGTTTAGATGTACCATAGATATGCCCAGAGACATATGATCTGTGTCTCCCTGGGGCACTGCCCAATCCTGTCTTGAAGTTAAGATGAAGGGAAGTTCTTCAGCATTTGGCTACTGCATCTTCTCACCACTCTGTGAATTCTTTCTCTGGCAAGTTCTTTCCCTGGCCTTTATTTTATGTGGCTTTGTTCTTTAGTTTCTCTCCAATGTGGCATTGTCTTGTTGAGCTCTTTGGTTCTCAGATGGAGGTACTGAGCATCTTCAGAGGGGAGGACTGGACCTTGTGTCCCTAGGAAGTCCCACAGGTGTCTTGTAGTGAATGCATGACCACCAGGCCTTCAGCTGGTGTTGACCACCTGTCTGAAGGCAGATGGTCTCCCTTCATCTTCCTCTTATTCCCTGTAGGTTGGCTTTCCCTGTAGACCCTTGGGCAACAAGTCACACACCCCAGTAGTTGCTTTTGCTGCTGTGCACAAGCTTGTGCTCAGCACTTAGATCAGGTCTGGACATCTTCAGTAACACACAACAGAGAGAGTGAGAGAGAGGCTGATTTGGATTCATGGATCTTTATTCTTTCATTCTTCCTGAATGTCTTGGACCAAAGGCCTGTAACCAGAAGCTCTGTGATGTGATGGCCATGGGTGTGGTCTACACACTCTGAATCTGGTAGGAGAGGGGTAGACCAGGAGGCAGAGGTGGGGCAGGTCTTCCTAGAGTATGTGCATATCTCATGTGCCTCCTTAGACAAAACACACCTGGAATACTAGTCTGTGCAGGTACAGCTCTTTTAAAGAAAAGCCAAAGGGAGGGACACCCGGGTGGCTCAGTCAGTTAAGCATCTGCCTTCAGCTCAGGTCATGATCCCAGAGTCCTGGTATCAAGTCCTGCGTCAGGCTCCTTGCTCAGCGGTGAACCCGCTTCTCCCTCTGCCTGCTGCTCCCCCTGCTTTTGCTGTCTCTCTCTGGCAAATAAATAAAATCTTAAAAAAGGGGGCGCCTGGGTGCCTCAGTTGGTTAAGCATCTGCCTTAGGTTCAGGTCATGATCCCGGGGTCCTGGGATTGAGCCCCACATCAGGCTTTCTGCTCAGTGGGGAGCCTGCTTCTCTCTCTGCCTGCCACTCCCCCTGCTTGTGCTCCCTCTCTGTCAAATAAATAAATAAAATAAATAAAATCTTAAAAAGAAAAAAAAAAAAGAAAGAAAGAAAACCCAAAGGGAACAGAGCTATCACTTTTCCAGGCAGGTTGTGGGAAGTTACACTCCTCCCTCAAACTCCACATCCCAGAAAATAAAGAGGAATCACGAATAGTCACAATGGCAACAGTTTCCAGTATGAGCTCTTCTGAAGCAGGTTTTGGAGAGACAATGACATACTCATTCTCAGGCTTGCTGGAATCTAGATTGGTCAAGTTCCTCTGGATATTCCTAGTTTCTGTTTCCTCTTTTCTCTTCCTCAGCCTTGACTGTGTGGTCCCTCACTCCTGACAACACTAGGTTTCCCGTTCCTTTCTTTTCAGGGCTAAAGTAAATCGTACGGGGCACTTGGGTGGCTCAGTTGGTTAGGCGACTGCCTTCGGCTCAGGTCATGATCCTGGAGTCCCAGGATCGAGTCCCGCATCTAGCTCCTTGCTCAGCGAGGAGTCTGCTTCTCCCTCTGACCGTCCCCCCCATGCTCTCTCTCTCTCATTCTCTCTCTCTCTCAAAAAAAAAATCTTTAAAGTAAATCTTACGGGAATACTCCAAGACCAGGTCAAGTCTGGCCTCCACATGGACCTTGGGCAGGTCTCTTAGCCTCTCTCCACCTCACTTGTCCCATCTGTAAAGTGGGGATGACACTAACCGTCCTGCTCACCCCAGGGTCTCGTGAGAGTATCAAATTAGACAGTGCCTTTGAAAATGTGGTACAAGTTGTAAAGTGTTGTGCAAATATGTGTGGGTAAAGCAGGGCCTTGTCCGTTTCAGGGACCTGCTTAAATGGAGGGACATGGAACGGGCAGGTCTGTGTTTGCCCCAACGACTACCAAGGAGACCATTGCGAGAACAGGGTCATGTTCTGCAAGAATGACGGCTACTGGGATGGGATCAAGTGTGTGTGCCCTAGCCTCTTCCATGGGCCGAGGTGTGAGGAAGTGGTCCCCAGCATTGAGATAGGTGAGTAAGACCACAGGACTCTGCTCTCTCCAACACTGGGCCTCCATTCCTGCCCCTCTGCGTGTACAAGAATATGGCCTCTTCTGGGGGCAACCATATTACTCAATGGTAAGAAATTTGAAACATTAAAAAATGAATAAAGCAAGAAGGTATGGTTTGGAACAAAACACAAATTTGACACAGAATTTTACCATAAAACACACTTAAGATAAATGAGTGTGTGATGGAGGAGAATACAAAAAGTGTGTGGAATTCTCATAAAGAATGTAGGACCCGCGATCCCCTGGGCTCAATCCCAAAGCCATGAGGAGTATGGTGTACTCCCCACCCTCCAGGGGCACTCTGGTGAGACCTGAGTGAGGGTCATAGGTGGTGGGCCCAGGCCACTCCCCTGTCCAGGGAAGAATTGTTGGAGTTGTGGGTCTCCTTGGGAAGGAACTCGGGGCGGGAGGTTGGCTCTGTCCTCAGTAAGTGGTGCTCCTGTCTGACCCCCTCAGAGCCTCCGCCGGAGACTGTCTCTGCCCAGATGGAAATGACCGTGACAGTGACCAGTATGGAGTACACCAAAGAGCTAGAAGACCGGAATTCTGTACAATTCCAGAACTTCAGTGACATATTCACAAAAGAGGTGAGCCTGGGAATGCAAGTCCCCTGGGCCACTCTGCTTTCCCTAGGGAGGAGTCTCTAGAGGTGAAGAAAGCAGCTGAGGGCTGTTCTCTTGTTAGAGGCTTGTGAGTTTCTCAGCTCATTCCTTTCCTCAGGGCTTGCCAGAGAGCTTGTGGAAAGACAAAGCAAGGTTTCATGAAAGGGGAATGGGGGCCCCATGGGCGGGACTGGTCTCTGAGGAGGGACCGCTCCATTGGGACAGTGTGGACTCCTGACGGGAATGGGGGACACAGCAGGTCCACCCTCGGCCTTCCTGAGTTCCTATGGAAAGACCTGGCAGGCTCCAAGTTGGGGCCTGTGTGATGACACTGTGACCTCCTTGCCTTTCAGATGAACATAGTTTATCTCGGAATCCCTGAGTATCAAGGGGTCAACATCACAAGGCTGTCGTAAGTATCTGTGGCCCCTGGGAAGAAAGTCTTTGGAGTGGAAGCAATAGTCGTAATTATAAAGACAATTGTAACTCTGCCTCTATATTAGTTGGCTAAGGCTCTCATAACAAAATACTCCAGACCGGGTGGCTCAAGCAACAGAAATTTATTTCTCACGGTTCTGGAGGCTGGCAGTCCAAGATCAAGGCATTCAGTGGGTTGGGTTTCTTCTGAGTCTCTCTTTGGCTTGTAGACAACTGCCTTCTTGCTGGGTCCTTACACAGTTTTCCTCTATTCAAGCATATCCTTGGTGTGTCTTTGTGTGACTGAATTTCCTCTTTTATTTTTTTTTAAAGTTCTTATTAATTTATTTTTTTAACAATCTCCTCACTCAACATGGGGCTCAAACTCATGACCCTGAGATCAAGAGTCACATGCTTTTCCAACTGAGCCAGCAAGGAGCCCCCCCAATTTCTTCTTATAAGGACACCACTCAGATTGGATTAAGACTGAGGTGGGCTCCTGAGTGGCTCAGATGGTTAAGCATCTGCCTTTGGCTCAGGTCATGATCCCAGGGTCCTGGGATCGAGTCCCACATCGGGCTCCCCGCTCAGCGGGGAGCCTGTTTCTCCCCTCTCATGCTGTTTCTCTCTCGCTCACTCTCTAAAAAATAAATAAAATCTTAAAAAAAAAAAAAAAGACTGAGGTACTGGGGGTTAGGACCTCAACACATGAATTCTGGGGGAACACAGTTCAGCCCATAACACCCTCCAAAACTATGGTTTCACATATATTTTCGAATTTTGAAGCTCCTAGTCACCCTGTGAGTGAGGCCAGCAGGACTGTTCCCATTGCACAGATGAACAAACAGATACCTAGAGGTAGGCATTGAGTTGCCTGAGGGGTCACTTACAGAGTGGGAGAGCCAAGACTCACACAGAAGCCCTCTTATGCTGGAGACACTGACACACGAGAACACTTGCAGGTTACAGTTTGTGTGATGGACACCCCACTTGTCTTCAGAGATGAAGCCCAATAACTGAACTTGGGGGGAAACCCCAGGGAAAAGTGTCCAAGTCCACAGGTGGCCGGTATTCACTCTCACTCACCTCTCACAGGATTCTGCCCCCACAGAATCTCAGCCCCGTTATCAACCTCGACTTTTTGAAATCCTGAGAATGGTGCTGGCCAATGAGGTTCACAGGAGTTGCCCAGCCTCCCCCAGATCATGAGGGAGCTATCGTTCCCATGGTTTACAGAATCATGATAATTTTCAAGAGGAACTTAGAACCAGTAGGAAGGAAGTTGCACAAAAATCACAGGGAGGGGAAATGTGTCCGTCAGCCTCTGTTTTTCTTCCTCTCTCAATTGTGTTGAACCCAAACCTTCTCTCTCAAACAAGAGAGGCCACCTCAGGTGGGACCATATGGGCTTGCCACGCCCCCTCCCCGTGGTCTGTGAGCACAGCATGTGCCCCGTGTCTGCTCTTCAGCAGCTCAGCTCCTCTGGAAGAGAAAACCATTTTTCTTTCTGGTCCTAAAACTTCCTCTCTGGGTTTGGCATGTGCTGACCCCATAGAGCTCTCTTTTGTCCCTGGGGATGGGGCAGTCTGTAGGTGCAGACGTCATCCTTCTTCTCTACATGTCTCCCTCTATCTCTCAGGCAAGAGAGGGAAGACAGGCCCTGTGGATCAGGTATTTTTACATTCCTGCTGGGTTTTCTATGTTACCACCTTTGGCCAGATAAGAGGAGAGAGCTGGGCTCTGAGGGCTCCAGAGAGGTCTGGGAGTGGGCAGATAGGAAGTGAGAATCATTCACCTCGGAAGTATGGAAGGAAGAATCCTAGGAACCATCTATCCTCATGTTACAGAAGAGGGAACTGAGGCCCCATGGGGCCAACTGCTGGTCCAAGATCAGCCGGCTACTCAGGGCCAGTGTCGGGATTTCCTCCTGTACCTCATAACTCCCACTACACCTGTGTGGCTTTGATAAAGCCGTCTTTCTCCATGGGAGCTTTCAAAACGGGGACTGAGGGCAGTGATGGACTCTGGGAGATGCCAGAACATGTCCTTATTGTGAAAGATGGCCTTGAGCTACAAGATCTTCTGGTCCCCTCTAACTCGTTATTCTACAGGTTATTTGAATTCCACTATTCTATATGTTATATACTATGAGTATAATTATTATCTCATTTAACTCTATTATTCTGTATTATTCTATTCTTTATGTTGTTCAGGAGTATCACCACACCCTTCCAATCTTCTATTTATGTTTAAGCCTCTGAATATAGTGTTAAGGAGAAAGCAAGGGAAAAAGAGTGCTTTGGGCTTCCATTACTTAGGAATCCTGAATTGTGAGCATGGGAAGTCTGGACTTGTTGCTGTATTTTTAAACCCAGAAAGCTCATTCCTGGGGTGTAAATAATCCCTACACCCACATGGGAGAGAAGTAACTTGCATTCTAGAATAAGAGCTCTTTGACATCCAGGTATTTCTGATCCTGTTTTGCATACACAGAAGATGTACTGCTTTGGGGATTTGGAGCTAGGGGAGAGAAAAGGAAACAAATGGAAGCTGTTAGCGTGCCTGAAACCACACTTTCTTGGTGGCCTTGCCCCTGGCTTTTCCTAGCTCCTAAGCACAGAGTAGGAAGAGACTGTCGGCTAGAATTTTAACCTTTTAGGTGTCAGAGATTCATTTTAGAATTGACACAAGTGTATGTGAGTAGAAAATATGCACATATGAGCTTCAAATCTGTGCATGCTCTTAAGAGGCTCACAGACCTTCTGCAGCCCTCCACCTAGCAATTCATGAATCCTGTAAGAGTCTCTGGTGTCCTCCTACCTCTTGAGGACACCTTGCCGGCAGCTGCCCAGTCTCCTGCTGGAATGCATCTGATGACACCTTGAGGATGATCTTCCATGGTCCCATCCCTCTGTCCATCTTTGCCCTTGAGCCTTCCGAGACTTCCACATAGAGCTGCCTAGAACCTAACCTTTGAGACAGTTGTCAGAGGCGCAAGTCATGGTGTGAGTCCTGTGGGGAAGTGACTAGCACTGTGCCTGGAATAAGCCTTCCCCCAGGAGACACCGGGTCATCACTTCAACCATCTTACCCCAGCTCTGCCTTCCCATGGGGAGGGCATATCCTGCCTGGGAAAAGGGGTTGGAGAAGTGAGCACCTATTATGACCTGGGAGGATGCTCACGGATATCTTTTTCTCTCCTCAGTGCTGGCAGTATTGTGGTAGAACATGAAGTCCTCCTAAAGACCAACTACACCCCAGAATACAAGGAAGTTTTCACTAAGGTCACCCAGGAGGTGGTGGAAAAAATCCAGAATGTAACCAAGGAGCAAATAAGCAGAAATAATAGCTGCACAAGTAAATTCCTAGGCTTCTGGGAGGGGCTTGAAGGGGTCCTCAAGGAATCTTTAAGCTTTGTCATCCTTGGGGTGGGGGAGGGGGGAAAGGCAGGTGTACATGCAGGCTACATCTTGTGGGGCACCCGTCTACGGGGAAAGTGAGAATAAGCATGGCTTGTTATGCAGAGAAGATTCTTCTGAATGTAATGAATAGTGTGGGACTCTTGGCAAAGGTGCATGTGGGAGAAGACATGGGGAGGGCACAGGGCACTTGGAGGGTCATTATGCTGGAGAGCTAGGCCTGAGGCTGGCATTCCCCATCTGCAGGGATGGGTTTCCCACCACCCCTCATCACAGCCCCTCTCCCCACTCCCCCAACCCTACTAAAGCAATCTGTTTAAGGGGCTCTATGTGTCTCCATTCACAGCTGTACTGTGTTATAACACGACTGCCACCAAGATGCAGAGCTTAGCAGTTACTGAATACAACCCTGAAAGTAGGTGACTTGGCGGGGGGGGGGGGGGCTCCAGGGATGGCGGGGGAGACAGACTGTGTGCCTGGTTGCCTGGTCCCTGCAACTCCTCCATTCCCCACAGAGGAATGCCGGGAGAGGGTTGGGAATTATTATGCTGCCTACTTCTTCGTGGAGTACAAGGAAAAGAAGCCAATCTGCATCAACCGCTGTATGCCAGGCTTCAACAGCTCCCTGGACTGCAACTTCGGGAAGTGCCAGCTAGAACGCAGTGGCCCTCGGTGCTAGTGAGTGTCCCTCTCCAGCCTGGCTCTGTCCTTCCTCCCCACCCTTCAAGACCCTGCCTAAAGGCCAAGTCACGGAGTGGGTCCTGGCCTCTCTTGAATACAGCCAGCCACAAAGGACCGGTGTAGCCAGAGCCCCAAGGCCAGGTCCAGAACGGACCTCAATAGCTCTCCTCCCCTCCCCGGGGTTTGTGCAGTTGAGACTAAGGACTGTGCCAAGCTCTGAAGAAGCAGAAGGAAAACCCCAGCTTCAGAAAACTCCCAATCAGATGGGGAGGATAAAGCCTTGCTTCCAGGGGGAGACCATACTGGTGAAATGAGAAGGTGACCCACCCACACGGGGAGGGTGGAAAGCCTGTAAAAGCTCGAGTCCCAGGCTTTGCCTACTGAAATGAAACCAAAGAGAGACCAGGGGGAAGGAGTCACACACATGCAAAGGCCTGAGCAGATGTTCTGGTTCTGGGAAGGTTTTCTGAGCGAGGATTTTGCAGGCTGGAGTGGGGAGGAGAGGAACAGGGCTTAGAAAGAGTGTCTCCAGGGAGGGGAGGGAGCTTCAGAGGCAGAGTATATGCTGGGGATCGGGGATGGGGATTTGCTTTTCCTGATAGAAAAGGAGAAACTGAGAACGTGATGGTTAGTATGTGGATAAAAAGGTTGTTGTTGGGGTCTCAAGTTCCTGGGTGCAGCCCGGGGCAGCACCAGAGGTGAGCCAACTGCTCTAGATCCTGGGCTGCAAAACCTAAAACTATTGGGCTTAGTATTGGGCCTCTCTTAGGCCCATGCCATGGAAGCTGGACTTTACCTCTGTCCATCCCCTCAGGGCTCCTCATTCTGCACCCCAGCAATGTCATCCTCACCCTCTCCTCATTAAGCACCCATGGGGTCAGGGCTGGATCTGAGGCAGGGAGATTGTGGGTGTTGGCTGCCCCTGACTCAGAATGCTCCCTCTCTCCATCTGCCCCCTCTGTCCCTCTCAGCTGCCTGACCACGGACACTGTCTGGTACAGTGGTGAAACCTGTGAGTTCAGCACCAAAAAGAGCCTGGTGTATGGGCTTGTGGGGGCAGCTGGTGCCATAGTGCTACTCATCCTTGTTGTTCTCTTGATGTTCATACTCCGTTCCAAGAGGAAGTTGAAAAGGTGAGTCACTGCTGCTACCTCTCCCATTTGCCTCCAGCTCCTCTTCCTCCTTTTCTGATCCCTCTGCCCTCAATCATTCATCCTCAGGGTGGACAGTGGGGGAGCGGAAAGGAGGGACATAACCAGTCCCCAAATCCTGGTTCCCTGCTCATCATGGAATCTCTCTGGTGTTTCTGTCAATAGGCAAAAGTCTAGAGTGTCTCAGTTGTATAAGTGGCATGAAGAAGATGGAGGACCAACCCCTGGAACTTTCCAAAACATTGGCTTTGACATCCATGAAGGTATTGGAAGTCCTCAGTGCACTCAAAATGTCTCAAAGTGTGGGGACACACATGGGAGGCATGGAGGCATGGAGGCATGGGAGGCATGGAGGCATGGAGTCCTCCACATGGGAGGACTTAAAAGAGCAAAGAGAATAGTATTTTCATCTCTAAAATATTGAGTTCCACATTTGTACCCCTATTTCCACCTCTGGCTCCTGCAAGGCCCTGGATGAGGTTTAAACATGGGCACAGCAGGGCGCCTGGGTGGCTCAGTTGGTTAAGCGACTGCCTTCGGCTCAGGTCATGATCCTAGGGTCCCGGGATCGAGTCCCGCATCGGGCTCCCTGCAGAGCGGGGAGCCTGCTTCTCCCTCTGACCCTCCCCCCTCTCATGTGCTCTCTGTCTCTCTCATTCTCTCTGTCTCAGATAAATAAATAAAATCTTAAAAAAAAAAAACATGGGCACAGTATAACTAGACCACTGCGGGGCACGAGTTACTTGATGGTCTAGATGTCTCCAGAACACAAACCTGCCTATGTAGCCCCGATAGGCACTTAGGAGTAGGTGAGCTCACTGATAGGTGATTTATAGCTCAGTCAAGTGATTAACTGCAGATTTTGTCAGGTTAAATGTATGTGTTAAAATTTCTACAAATTGAGTCTTTACATTCCAGAGAAGGGAAGAATGGAACAAGGAAACCATTTTAGTCAATCCACAGAAAAGCAAGAAAGGGGGAACAGATGATAAGGAAAGAGATGACAAATAGGAAGCACAAAATAAGATGGTAGAAAATAGGGTGCCTGGGTGGCCCAGTTGGTTAAGCCTCTGCCTTCGGCTCAGGTCATGATCCAAGGATCCTGGGATCAAATCCTGCATTGGGCTCCCTGCAGGGAGCCTGCTTCTCCCTCTCCCTCTCCCTCTGTCTCTCTCTCTCTCTGTCTCTCATGAATAAATAAATAAAATCTTTAAAAAAAAATAAAATAATCTACCATAACAACAACAACAAATATAAGTGGATTAAACACTCCAGCTAAAAGAGGGAATTAAAAAAAAAATCTAGCTATTTTCTGTGAATGAAAGGCAGAGCAAAGAAGAAGGCAAAAGCATGGAAAAGGACAAAAAGGAGATATACTAGCCCTGCAGTGGGTGGGATTATAGGTAGAGATGGGAGCTTGTCTTCCTAACCAGCTGCTTCCATGGGGCTTTCTTCCCTTCCAGATCAAGATGACTCCATCCACTTGGACTCCATTTATAGTAACTTCCAGCCCTCCCTGGACCAAATAGATTCTGAAACACAGGTAAGAAAGTCATGGATGAAGTGCTCACCTCCCCCTGCCCTAAGACCCCATATCCTCTCCTACCATGGTAAGATCTTCAGGAAAGCAAAGTCATGTTTATGGTTGTTAGTCCAGGTGACATCTAGGTCTACATTGCTGGGAAATGAACAATAACTTGGGGTGGCAGCAGGTGGAGGAGAAGGAGCTAAGCAGCAGGGTGGAATCTACCTTCTCTAGATACCTGAGGCTCCAGGTTCAGAGATTTCTTTCCACTTTAAGTATGTCCTTGATGGCCAATTTATTTAGTTTATTTAGTTGTTTTAATTTTCAAACCCACATAAAAGTCAAAATAGTAATGCACTAAATACCCCGCCTAGATCAACAATGTTTAACGTGTTGCCACATTTTCATTATATGGCATAGTATGTATATATATGATATACATACCCAACAAATTTTGCTGGACCATTTGGAAGTCAGTTGCAAACATTATGACATTTGATAAAATGATAAAAGTGATAAAACACTTCAGTACACACCCCCAAATACCATTAGCATTCCCAGTAAGTTGATGATAATTCCACAATATCATCCAATATCCATTTTTCCAATGAACCAAAAAACATCTCTTATTACTAGTTTTTTCAAATATGAACAAATTTCACTCACTGACTTTTGTTGTGTCACATTGGTCTTTTTAATCTAGAACTGATTCCTGCCTTTTAAATATATTAATTTTTTTAAGAATCTAGGATGATTGTCTTAAGGAATGCCCCACATTTTAAATATATCTAATTATTTCCTCATGGTGTCCTTTACCTTGTCCCTCAATCCTCTGTACTTCCTATAAACTGGCAGTTAGGTCTAGAGGCTTGATTAGACCCAGCTTAGACATTTTTCTTAAGCATATGTCATGGATAATGCTACTGCATCACCTCAGGAGGTACATAATGTCAGGAGGTCCCACTATGATTGAGGCCAAGATTGGTCACTTGGCAAGAGGTGACCACTCATTGATTGCTACCTTAATTTTATTTCAACTGGATGGATGTTCCAGGGCAGAAGAAATGCTCTCAAAGTATTCACACTTCCGAAGAAGTATGATTGGCTTCATGCACCTTACTCCCTAGGGAAAGCCTTGGGGCAAAGATAAACTCCCTAGCTAGAATGCTTTGAAAGCTACTTAAGTTGGGGGTAAGTGGGGGGAGACAGTTGATTTGTACTAGACTCTAAACTGAGCACTTTCCCAGTCCCAAGACTCTTATGTTTCCAAATCCCAGGTTCCTTATAAACATAGCCTTCACCTCGTTCTATCTCTCTTTCCAGATCAAAATTCAGAGGCCCCAGGTGTTGATGACGTCAATTTAAGGCAGTTTTACATGGAGCTGTGGGCTCTGGGAGTGAGGAGATCTTACTTTGTCTAAGCCTGACGGAACTTTTCCCCATTGAGAGTATTCATGGAACCGGATGAAAAACAAAACCTGTACCAAGGAGGAAGAGGGGAGAGAGTACAGTGCTGGAAAACTCAAATAGAAAAACCATGGAAACTCCGATGGGCTTGTTAGGATCTCAGGCGAGGCGCTCTTGTTCATACAGGGAAGTTCTTCCTCCTGCCTGCCTTGTTTCAGCACCAAGGACAGCATCTGAATCGCCTATTAACAGTGGCGATCACTTAAACATAGGACTGAACTTTACATTATACAAAACTTCTTGTAAGATTTATTGTAATTCATTTTAATAAAAAAATGTTTTAAGAGATTCAGCATTTTCTTTGAGTATATAGGATTATAAGTATTTTTAAAGTTCTAATATTTATCTATCGGTTCTGATTTTTTATTAGTCAATATAATATATATTTCTAATAAATAAAAACAAAGCAAATTTATTAAATTTTTCATGGTTCCCAGTCCTTTCTTCAGCTGATACCCTATACTGGTTCCTGTTTCTCACCTGCCAAGCTCTCTCACCTCTTCTCCCTCAGGATGTACTGTCTGATGAATTTGGCCTCAAGATGAAAAGAAGAAAATCTACAGCCAGAAAGCATACCATTCTTGATCTTCCCCAGCATCACTTGCTGGCCACTGAAGATGCCATAAAGCAAGACTCACACATACTCCCATGATACTGGGACTCCCAACTGGGAGAGAACCAAGTTCTTCTTCTGGAAATGGGCTTATGTTTCTTTCCATAGATTTGCAGAGATAGAGTCTTGGGTTTTATTTCCAGCTTTCTCATCCACTCCCTGTGTTAAGTCTGGGAAAAGTCATATTTGACAATTCGGACTCAGACTTGTCTTTTGCTAAGGACTAGGTTCTTTCTAAAGTCCCCTTATTGCTGTCATTTTTAACACGTTTAGGATGATTTATTACAATTCCGGCCATGCAGCTCAGGATTTATTTTGTTCTGGAAGGTGTCTCCCACAGGCTACCCCATTTAAACCTTAAGCTGAAAACAGAGCCTAGGCTCTGCTGCCCCCTCATGATCACTTGGAGCATCTGCAAGCACTGGTCAGCTCGAGGCCATCCCCTCCTTGCCACCCCTCCCCATTGGAAAGCCATCAAAATCCCCAGCTCTTAAAACTGGGCTTAGTCCATTTGGGCTGCCATAACAGAATACCATAAACTAGGTGGCTTATAAACAGCACACATTTATTTCTCACAATTCTGGAGGCCAGGAAGTCCAAGATCAATGTGTTGACAGATTTGGTTCCTGGTTCACAGACAGCCATCTCTTTGTTGGTGTCCTGACAGAGCAAAAGGGGTGAGGGAGCTCTCTGGGGGTCTCTTTTATAAGAGCACTAATCCCATTCAGGAGGGCTCCATCCTCATGACCTAATCACCTCCCAAGAGTCCCCACCTGCTAACATCATCACATTGGATATTAGGTTTTAACCTATGAATTTGGGGGTGAGGGGAGACAAACATTCATTTTATAGCCCAGGCCGAATCTAGATGTCTTCCTTTTCAAACCTGCTTCCTGCTTCAGACAGGCCAAAGCATCAATGGTCATGGAGAGGCCATTTAAAAGAACTGCAGACCCCACATCCAATCTAGAACCACGTTATCCACCTCAACTCCTTCCTGCTCTCTCCTCACATCTGCTTCGTGGAGAGGCAGCATACAGTAACTAGACACGTAGTTGGTCTGGGTCCAATTCTTGGCCAGCTATTTACTACCTGAGTGAACTTGGGAAAGTAACTTCTCTCTGGACCTCTTATCTGAACCACTCCCTTTGTGCCAATCACCATTGTATATTTTAACTCATTTATTCCTTAAAACCCTATGAAGTGGGAACTATCATTATCCCCATTATACAGATGAAGGAGTCAAGGTAAAGACACATCCAGTCACTTGCCCGAGATGGTGTAGCCAGTGGATGTGAAGCTGGAGTTACAAACCAGGGAGTCTGGCCATCAAGCCTGTGTTCTTGACCATCAGTTACGTGCCCTTCCTGTGGGGCCACTCTTGGGATTAACTGAGTTAATACATGTAGAGTGCTTGGAAAAAAGCCTGGCACATAGAAATTTCTCGGAAGGAAGGAAGGAATGTTAGTTACTGCTCCATCAGCTTCTTCCCTCACATTTCTCTCCCTAGTATTCCTTCTCTTTTCTTCCTCTCATCTTCCAACCATAGAAGAGCCATGGGCTGGACTGAGGGCAAGATGAAACGAAGGCCGTGTTATTTTGCAGAAACAGGGAAATCCAAAGGCACGGAGATGCACAAAAGAAGACTGAGGGTGGAAACACTAGGTTTGAAGAGGAGAGTCTGTTGGGGCTTAAAGGCAAAAGGAATTTGGGAACCACCCCTCCAAGCTCACCTTTGGCCACCTGCATCACCCCCACAGTTATGTGGTTCCACGTACTACTACTACCCTTGGGTGCTTCTCTTGCCCTACCTGTGGGTCTTTATGGCTTCACCTCTGACCCAGCCCATTGCCTTGTCAACCTCATGCCTGACCTCCTGTGGCCTGCCCTCCTGCCAATCACTGCTTCCTGTGCAGCCACTGGCTCCTTCCCAATTGTGCCGTTCACCTGCTCAAAAACACTGATGTCCTCACCCTCTTATTAAAGCAAGATCCATGCTCCTCAGTGTCTTCAAGATCCCTAGAGTTGACTCCATCTCTCCCTTACCTCTCCACCCCAGGCTCCAGGAGCTCTACGACCTCACTGCATGGACTGATGAAGTGCCACCCTCCCCCCTCAGCTGCTTCTTCAACCTGCAATGCCCTTTTTACACTTTCCTCTTTAGAACCTGACTCATCTTGAAGCTCCAAGTTCACCTCCTCCAGGAACCCCTCTGTGATAGAACCCTTTACAGTCTCTCTCATCTGTGACTCCTTGTCTTAGTCAGTGTGGGTTGCCATAACAAAACACCAACACTGTGTAGCTTAAACAACAGACATTTATTTTCTCACCATTCTAGAGGCTGGAAGCCCAAGATCAGGGTACCAGCAAGATCATGTTCTGGTGAGGGCTCTCTTCTTGGTTTGCAGACCTGCCTACTTCTTTCTGTGTGCTCATAAGACTGCTTTTTTGTACACACACACACACACACACACAGGGCAGAGTGGAGGGGTGCGGGTCACAAAAAAGCAAGCTCTCTGGTGTCTTTTCTTATAAGGGCACTAATCCCATCAGATCAGTGCCCCATCATCTAACTCCTACTTCCTAAAGTCCCTGCATCCAAATACTATTACACTGGGGGGTAGGGCTTCCACATATGAATTTTAAGGGGATACAGACACAGTCCATAGCACTCCTTAACACAGTTGTGTATAGTTATGTCATGTTCATAATTTTCTCTACATATCTCTCCCCACATAGGGAGGATGTGGCTTTGTTCCCCTCCATACCCCCAGAGTGCCTAACACAGTGCCTTGCGCATCAAAGATGCTATTAATGCCTATTAAACTTAATTGAATCAAGACTCATTTTCACAAAGCTGTCCTTCTCGGAACTGAATTCTTATTTGTTCTCTGGTTGCCTCATGCATGCCTATGTCTGTTAAAAAAAAAGAAAAAAAGAAAGAAAGAAAAGAAACAACAAACCCCAAATGGAGTCACTCAGGCTAAGCTGGTGTCAGCAAACTAAGATTTAACACCTAACCTAATTGCAGTGTTAGCCTCTCCCAGGACTGTGACCTTTAACCGGCCAATCTGGAATTCTCTGATCAGCACTAGGGAGGTGATCTGCCATATAGACCCCTACTCTTCCCGCAAGTGGGGGTGACCTTGCCTGAAACAATCCACTCTTTGTTAGAAACTTCCTTTTCTGCCCCCTTCTGCCTATAAAAGCCTTCCATTTCGAATAGCTCCTTAGAGCACCTTTCTGTTTGCTAGATGGGTTGCTACCCCATTCATGAATCATTGAAGTAAGCCAGTTAGATCTTCAAATTTACTCAGTTGTGGTTTTTTTTTAACATTTTCTGGTCCTATGGAAAGTACCGCGTTCTTTTTTTTTTTTTAAGAGAATTTGATCCCCGCCCCCTTTTATAAAGACAACCTCTACACCCAGCATGGGGCTCAAACTCACAACCTTGGGATCAAGAGCCTCATGCCCCATGGACTGAGTCAGCCAGGCGCCCTAGAAAGCATGATCTGGAACCAGCCAGAGAATTTAGCTTAGACCATGCACGCCAGAGTCTCTCATACATCCTGGTTTTCTCCTTTTCTCTCACGGCTAAGCCTTTCCATCTCTGGAAGAGATCAAGACAGGAAGAACGGCAGCAGAAGGCCTGGGTTTGGGAGTAAATATGGCATCCCGGTCTCCCTCCTTGGCTTTCTGTGGGTCTTTCCAAGTCATTTCCAGTCACCCAAAGACCCTGGGGGTGGGGCACGTGTGAAATGAGGCTGGAAGTTGGAGGGCCATTCTCTGACGAGAAACTAAGACTAACACGACTATCCCACCCTCAAAATGTGTGGCGATACGGGAAATAATTTTCCAAGGCACCCTCTAAAACTCAGCTCTCCTGCAGGCAGATGATAGTATAGACTTTTGGAAAACAGTAACACATTCACAATCCCAGAGATTTTACTGGATTGGGAAGACGGGACAGTTGTGTTTTGCTGCTGAGGGTGGTGTGACTCTGGTGTTTAGATTACACCCCCAGGTTGGGCAGGCCTGATTCATCTGTGATGATACAGCAGGTGGGCAAGCTGGCGGCTGCCTAAGTCTGGCTGCCTGACAAGAGGCAGGCTCACAGGGGAGCCAAGCGGCGAAGGAAATTTACTGCGTGTTGTAGCCAGGCAAAGTGGAATTGGACTCGGGTGATAATCAGCCTGATTAGCTTGGTGCCTCCTGGAGGGAGCCAAGGGCGGGGGGAGGCAGGGCAGGGTGGGGGCGGGAAGGACAGGTCAGCCAGCATTAAGGTGGAGGCTCAGAGGCTGGGGTTTGCTGAGGTCAAGAACCGGGGCCCAGAGAAGTCCGTGGAGCAGCAAACCCAGAGAAAATGAGTCTAACACCCAGTCATCGGTGTTAAATTAAAAAAGAGACAACAGGCCCAAAATGGAGTCTCCTGTGCTAACCACACAGCAGAAAACCGAGACTTAATATCTAACTAATTGCAGTTTCAGCTCCTTCCGGGAATATAAACTTTAACCAGTCAATCTGGAATTACCTGGTCAGCACTAGTGAGGTCATCTGCCTCCTAGACCCCTGGCCTTCCCCCAGTGGAGGGTGACCTTGTTGAAACAATCCACTCTTTGTTAGAAACTTCCTTTTTCTGCCCCCTTCTGCCTGTAAAAGCCTTTCATTTTGTTCAGCTCCTCAGAGCTACTTTCT